ATTTCTTACCCGTTGAGTAATGGAAATGGGATCGTATATATTTTTTCTTTCGTCTATTATTTGATACAATGCTCTTCCCATAGCATAATCGGATGGGTTAGTATTCAGAGTACAGAGAATACATTCTTTTGAAAAACAGAAGGTAAAAGCTCCTAGTATGACACTTGTGGTAGCTTTTTATCCCACTCTTCGTTTCTTCAAGACCTGAGAGTTTTAGGGTAGATAATATATAGCCGAGCTAGAAATCCCTTCTCTCATTAAATCTACCATTCCGAGTGAAGGTTTTGTATCGCACCTGTTATTTGGTGTCGAGAACTGCATCATACGAGCATTCTCCTTTGGCATATACTATATGTCCAAGGAAGTACATTTCTGTTAATTCAAAAGGTGACTTTGCCAGGTTTATCTTCAGCTGAAGCTTCTTATTGTTCGAAGCGCTTATTTTAAAGTAGCTTTGCTTTGGATGGCTCTCTTGTATATACGCCTATATTATTTGAATCATTTTCTGAATATTCATTACTCGCTTGAGTCCTACTTACCGATGTACTTGTGTAGAGTATGTTGTCGGCGTGGTGCGTTTGTATTTTATTTCACTTACTATTATAGTGTTGTTGCTTTGCTACATTTCCGCGGGAAGTATTTACCGTACTGTATGGTATGGTAGCTTGTTGCTTTGTTTCCCGTGTTTACAAAGGGCGAAAACGGTGTTTGTTAGTCGAGCTTATTTCGTCACGTGTGGACTTACTCATGCGTATTCCGTCATATATGAAAATAATTTCTCATGTGTGATCTCATTGAGATGTTCGGTCCTGGTAACGTCACTTGGGGAAGTTCGGTCCTGGTAACGTCACTTGGGGAAGTTCAGTCCTGGTGACGTCACCTCTTGTAGTGCGGTCCTGTAACTGATTGTATGTACAGTGTTGTTTCCTACTACATCTTTGTTCTAGGACGCTTATTGTTTTCTTGATCGCTTTTGTTACACGCTTCTATGACCATGTGTGACCCGTTCACCTCCAATGTACCTGTAGAGTATCCTGTTTATTGGGTACTTTACTTGTGCTGCGATTGTTTGTCTTGATCTCACTACTTGGTTCGTATGCATCTTGTTCCAATGCTTGATAATTCATGATCACTCAACACGTCTTAATAGTATGTCTTTAACCGATATTTGATGGCTTTGCGCCTCTCTAACTATTGCTGCTTGCGTTGTATGTGTGATGTGTGCTATCACTGTTGAGCTCGATGATTGTCTCGTTCGTAGACTAAGTCTTGTGTGTATATAATGATTGTATATACTATGTTCCGGTGCTTTGTGGAATATATTGATTATATATAGCTTGTGGGATTCAGTTTATGTGTGACATGTGAATCTTGTACATCAATCTGTCTGATCTTCTTAGTATTGATTATACTTGATCCGATTGTGTGTGTATGGTTATGTTTGTACACTTACGATATATTCTTGTGTAGTTTAGATCTGTGTGGATGTCCAATTTATAGTTCCCATTCATATGTGCACGCCTAATGTGTCTGTGTGTTGAATGTCCAGGTGTCTAGCCTGCGTCAGAATTGGTTTCTTGTGTGTCACACTTGTCTGTCAAACTTGTTTGTCCGTCAGAATTGTGTGTATATATCCACTACCTATTTATCATGTGTACTTATGATGGCTGGTAATCGTTGTGGTGATATTACCTATTTCTGGTGGTTCTTGCTAACTGCATACACAAGTATTATTGTGATGTGTTTCGTTATGCTGTGTATTTCTCACATTCCTCTAGTAGGTGTTTCTATATTGTGGTCTGTCTGTGTACGCTGTAATACCCTTGTAGATTTCAAGATCCCAAAATGATTTATTGAATTTCTTATGGCTAATCTCTCTGCCCTTTGTAAATACCGAAAGCCCCAATGAATGTACTGGTTTCTTTGGCTCTCTTTTTGTATTAGGTCGGGTGTCTTAGAGATATTGCTTATATATTTAGCTTCACCAGAATCTTTAGTCTTTGCCTTAGCCAAGGTTAACTTGATGATAGTTCACTTTGACTTTTTATCACCGTTAACAGTACCCATAGTCGATGCATGGATAGGTGTTGTAGAGCTACTTTGGCGTTGGCGAGATTATTGGCTGCTATGTTTGGCGAGGACTTTCCATTTTCAACCCGGTGGCTTTAGCCTGAGCTTTTTCAGCTTTTTATGTCGCTAACGGTGCTCTTTGATCCTTGCGGATATTTTCTGTTTTATCTTCTGCTATGCAACAGAAGTAACTGGATATATTGATGGGTTGTCATCCCCAGAAACTTTGCCCTATGATATAGCTTCCAAGAAATGGCCACGACTATGAGGTCTAAAAGCCGCAAATAATGGATCGTCAAAAGAATTACTCCTACCCAATCAGAACTGGACTAAGTTGACGATATGCGTCATCATGGCGCTATTATTTCGAGTGAGAAAATAGTTCACTTTTAGTATATGTCCTTTCGAAATTGTTTTTTTATCATATACGGTTTCAATTTGTCGAGTGGGCGAACTGGATGCCTTTTCCGCTTATCCTAACGCTGCAGCATTCAACTCGTCACCACCGAGTGTTGCCCTTCAACTTTCTCATATCAGAACTCTGAGCTCTTGTCAGTGCCTGGGTAATCACCACCTGATTTGGTGTGATTGCCCTCTGATTTCTTATTATCCGTATCGCTCATCCGTTGTACTAGTAATGTAATATGTGTATAAGGAATAAATATTGAGTTGAGTGTACTGTGCGAGGTTCTGACACGTTTCGAGTCAAGACCTGGCAATTCATTAGGTTCTAGCTACGGCTGTATACGGCTATTCCTATGGACAGTAGTACAATAACCTTTTAAGTTTTACCTAACTATGTTTAAATTGTAAGGAAGGTGCATCCTTGATTTAGATTTCAAACTTAAACAAATTAAGTTATTTTCTTCGCTCGAGTCCTAACCGCCAATGTAATACCTCAAAGCGAACATTCTCTGAAAAATCAGCTTTGTCTACTCACGTGTGGCTGTGGTAGAATTGAAGCAGTCAGCATGAGGAAGGTATATTGAATCATTGAATCTCATTCTTGTTTGATGTATTGGGAAAACTGTAGCGTAAGTACTATTCTCAAAGCATGTATTTGACACAAGATTCTGACAACTACTACAAGTCATGAGAAAGTGTCAATCCTCTGTAAAATATTTATATTTCCAAACATGTCAAAATAATTATAATGGATGCTTGTCAATTTAATCTCGTCGATACTCAATTGACAGTGCTCAAGTCGGGCGTTCATAAGTTTGATTTGTCCTTCAATATTGAGATTTTATGCTTTCCCCGAACATAATACAACACCCTTTCTCATACGGGCTGTCGAACAAATTAGACAAAAGTGTTTCAGTTATCGAAGAGAGTACTTCGGTGCACACTTTTATCAAGCGATAAGTCTATCGAACAACTTATACACTCGCTAATAATTTATCACCACATAACTAAACAACTATCGAAATATGTTTGCAAGTCCATATACCATAAAAAATATGCAAGGAATTCGCTTGTAGCCTTCAAAAGCCTTCAAGGAACTCACTGGAATAATATAGCGCTGTACTGTACAATCTTTCCTTTACATTTATTTTTACACACCATGCCGGAGGAGCGGTTGCCTTGAGAAAAATGATTGAACGACCTCAATAAAGGTGGGCTACGCGGCAAGAAAGATATAGCTTGTATTATGAAAACGAACACCACGAAGCGCTCAGTTGAGATCGTGTCTCCACTGGTCTCTTTAAAAGTGCAGTTTCTCAGATTAATGTCATCTCTGAAACAGTAAGGATATATAGTAGACTCTGAGAAATGACAACTTCAGACGATATCGTGACTAGTAAATGACGCCCCGGGTGATGATAGGTTATGAAAAGAAGATTGGACTCAGACCTGACAAGCCACAATAGCACTAAATTTAAATAACAATAAGCATGTAATAGGAATTCACTTAGGTTTGATTTTGTCAGCGTAGATGGACTCCTAGTTTATTATAACCCGTCGAATCGAAATCTTCCACTTTAGAACACTTACTCATATTATTGCACTGTCTAAAACGTGACAAGGCTTTGTCTGAGCTTCGTCTCCTATTAATAACCCAACAGAATTCTAACACTTGTACAATTATCGCTGGCAGGATAAAAAGCAAAATATCACTTAGATGAATGAATTCGTAAAATGCAACAGGACACTATATTAAAACATCACAGAAACCCATAAAACCACAGGCCAGCTTTCGATGCTTTCAAATGTGGATGACGCGCCGCGATGGAGAATATCTGGAAACTTGCGATCGTGCGCAGACACGATAATGTAAACGTACGCGTAACCGTGCTGCGAGATTTTTATTCGCGGTACACAGCATGGTTCACTCGCAGTAGAATTGGACGAGCGGTATAAGGGGGCACATAGCATCATCGAAATGGAACCTGAGTCTATCGATCTGTTTCTTCCCAATACACGGTATAAATTTTCATACGCTCAATGGTATATTTCAAGCTCATGCAGCATATCACTTTAAAATCAGTACAACACACTCATAGTTTTGTACAAGTATCGATAAACACGTTTAATTTTATCGAATGGAAGATGTATGTGAAGATGTCTGTGAACAAGGGCTATAAACTTACATAAGGATGAAAGTGGTGAAATCATAACGAAATCGAACAGAAAATAAGAAATACTCTCGAGGAATAAGGCGCGATTCTTACGATGGCATGCCAAAGATCTGACTAAGTGATGACGCATGGACCATCGCACTCAAATTCTAAAAAAGTGAAGTCACGTCAAATAAACAGAGTATAGCAAGCGTGAGCGTTTTATCTGAGGTCAATATTAATTTTATCGGGAGGAAAATCATAGGGTAGAAAAACAAGCTCTATGCGAAATCAAGCTCATCAAAAGCAGTTGAACGACACAACGTTTCGTGCACTCATACAAAGATGCAATTAATAGGCACTGTAAATACTTCAAATCAAAGAAAACCCTGATGATCGCTGTGCATCCTGTAACTCCTGCGATTGTGCTGGCATAAATGATAGCGGCTGCGGCTGTGAAAACTGTTGCGCTAATTGCCCGTATTCTGATTGTTGGCCCTGATGTTGCTGTATTGGAGCATACGTATGCTGCTCTGATATATGTATGGATCGCTGAGGAATTTGCTGTGTTTGAAGTGGTTGTGGCAATGTCTGTAGTGGTTGTGGCAATGTCTGCTGTCCAGCAATCGGTGGTACCTGATTTACTATGGGTATCGCGTACTGTTGAGATATGCTTCCCAAAATATGCTGTTGATTCTGCTGTTGCGCCTATAAAATAAGATAAGAAAATTTGGAAGATACGCAATTGATAAACTCGACTGAGTGGATTGACGACAGATGTAAACAGTAAAATCCACAACATTGTAATCATGGCAGAGAATAAAGGGACTCAATTTATTGACAGGCAACAAACGACAAACTGAATAACCACAGCGTCAAAATTCACACGCACGCCTGTTTGCTAGCAGTTAGGATATAAAACCACAAAAACAACCTCCTTCTCACACTCATATTCAGCACAAACTCGCACTTAAAATTTAACATACCCGTTGTAGTACATCGTTTTGGGCCATTGCCACTGCGAAAATATTTTGATCGTATTTTACGGGTTGGGGTACTGGCGTCGGCGGCAATATCTGTGAGGGCCGAGGTGGTGCACTGCCAGGTTTGCTACTAGCCGGTCTTGCAGGTGGGCCGTAGGTGACGTGTGATTGTCGCTGATAATGTGATGCCAATTCATTACTGTGGGATTTCGAGATACTGGATTCAGAGTTTGGCGAGTACCTATGAGTAATTGATGCGTAAGCCTGAGATTGTGGTTGTGAGTAAGGTTGCTGTGGTCTTTGTGTCGGTTGCTGTTGATGTTGCTGTTGCGGATGTTGTTGTTGCGGATTACGATGTTGTTCTTGTTGCTGGTGGTATTGTGCAACGTGTGGCTGTTGCTGCTGATTTAGATGGTATTGTTGTGGATGCAGCTGTTGTTGCTGATACGAGGTCAAGGGGGAGCCCAGAGACACTCGTATATTCATCGGAGCCTGTGGCTGTGCATGTACCTCGTGTTGTGACTGCTCACTTAAGTGAAGTGGGTGGTTCGATGCGTCGAAATACTGCCCATCTTGTGGCTGCTGCGACTGCGCTTGATTTAGTTGTGGCTGCGGTGCGGTATACCCGGAAATATGTGATGATACTTGCCCAGAGTGTGGAGCAAGCTCGGATGATACAAACTGCGTCTGAGATTGATTGCCTACAGGCTGTTGCATCTGAGGCGTTGAACTTGCGCTTTGCGAACCGGTCTTCATGTCGCACACAACTGTCTGAGACGTGCTGGCTTGCTGCACAGGCGGTGGAGACAGCGGCTCTGACGAACGCACAACATTCATCGTCGTCGTGGCTGTCATACTGGTAGCCACCGTTCCGCTTCCAAATACAGCGTCTAGCTCGGCAGATGATATCTTTGGGATATGGGGTGATGGTGTCTGGACTTCGATCTCTTCTTCGGTCGTAAGTGCTTCAGCAGCGGCAATCCAATTCTCGAATGGATTGGTGGGCAACGGCGAGGTGCGTGCGGGCAAATTTGACTGGACAGAAAAAAGGCGACCGAAATTTAACAAAAAATACAACGAACAATTCAAACACATCAAAACGTGGTCGATGCATGTTGATATAATACGTAAAGTACATTTAAGGTATGATAGGTTTTGTACAATAAAAACTACTCCTAGAAAGAATTTGATATAGACTTCCAAAGCGTGAAAAATCATCTTACACAAATGCAAACGACAGATGGAGAAGGAATGTGAAATTGTCTAATAGGTTGGTTGATGACAGTTACGAAATAGCAAATCTGCAATTGTGTGGGCTCTGCATCGAAACAACAAGGTATTTACAATAAAATATTGGTTAAATATATGTGAATATGTCCAGGGTCGAGAGAGGTTGCACACAAGAGAAGCCTAATAAATGCAATAATGAGTGAAAGCACTTGGGGTGGCACATATCACGTGATGAGATGCGACGTGCGCTCGATTGATCAATTGTGCCCCATAAACTATTTAAACGCTGATATATGCCCATGTTTATAGGCGACCGTCAGAAAAGCGATGGAAAACGACGTGTTTATATATATCACGTTCGAATGTACCAGACGGACAAAATCAGCTGACTAATTCCACACAATGAGTAGTTTATGTATCAGCTCGACACAAACAAACATTGTACGATATTGCTAACCTGTTGCAGCATGGGAACCTGCGTTTGTATGGATGTGGAACCAAGCGAGACAGTGCTATCCTCCGCTTTGAGTTGCAACGGATGAACCTGTTCTGGCTGCAGAATTTGCGCATTCACCGGTCGCAATTCAGGAAAAATACTAGGCGGCTGACCCTGAGCTTGTAATGCTTGAGTTTGCTGTTGTTGACTGTAGGTAGGCTGCTGCACAACTTGATCTGATTGTTGCTGCTTCGCTTGCTGCGAATGGCGAGAGAGCTCCATGCGAGGCCGATGATTGAACCGTGGATTGGCTGTCGGTGAATGCGACTGTGCTTCCGATTGTGATACCGTAGGCGATTCTGGCTTAGTATGCGAGCCTGCGGTCGGTGTTGGTGGCGGTCGGTGTAAATTACCATAAAGAGACAGAAACTGGACGTCATCATCTGGTAGCGGTGGCGCATTGGCCGACTTTATCTGTGGATCGCCCGTAACAAACGATGGTACATTTGCAAATGCCTGTATGTAGGTACCAGAAGAAGCCTCCGTCGTTTGCGTCTGGGGGAGCCATGTAGAGCCTTCGTAAGTTTGATTTTGATGCGGAGGTTGCGGGTGTTGCGGGATCTGTTGATTGTAAGGAGTGTTCGATCGTGTGTGATACAGCTGTTGAGATTGTTGAGATTGTTGATATTGTTGAGGCGGAAGCATTTGATTTGGCGGGGGTACGAACGACTCCTGCGCGTTCAAAGCAAATTTCGCAATGCAGTTGGTATCATACAAAACAGTCGAAGTCTTAAAAAATATATTTATCGAGCGATCTGGTGTATGCAATACAAAATCGGTAAGGTATTCATCACAAATAAATGTAGACATAGTCGGATACGTTTCGAAAAATGCTAAAGTCACATCCACGGCATCATGCCCGCGTAACACTCTTGATGATCCCTAACATGTTCATTGAAAGTAAATCAACGTGAAATAAAAAATTGAGTAAATCATATAAATGTTCGGCCAAGCGAGGCTATGCACCTATGTGTCATAAAATCTATAGCACTACCGGCAAATGATTTGTACTCAGCTCACCTGCTCCTTCTGACGAGTTCGTGCTTGGTATGGGTCAACAGACACAGCTGCCCCTAACTGTTGGAAGTATTGTGCCTGTGTGAGTTGGGCAGGGGTAGGGACAGGACTCTGCGAATATGACATTCCCATGGGTGGCTGCTGAGGCTGCAACACAGTATACGTAAATCAATTAAAAATAGTAACCTCAGGCAACGCGTGCCAACGTATTGTGAGGAACGGAGACGTATACTATGTGCCAGTATGGCACAAAAGTAATATCAACAAGAATTGAAAGACGAATGTTTTGGCTGACGTAGGGCGGAGGACGGCATTGGCATACCAACCCGTGGCCAACGTGAGTCATAAGGACGTGAGTTCTCCCGACTGAATTCACCTCCATAGCAAAACACCTCGGAACTTGAAAGCATCCATGAGATACCGATCTAGAGTTCAAGCAAACAAAATAGCTAGTATGGGCTAGTATGGGCGATAGGGTGTCAGGCAAATTTCTTTAACCTTCTGTAAGATACACGAGTACTTTTCACGCCAAACTTGTGCATCAAACAGCTCTTCCATTGCACACACTGCATGATACAAATTGAAAGTTAGACAATGCCATACTCTTGACAGAGTATATTTTCCGGATGGTTCAAATCAAGTACTACCACAAACTAACACACAACGAACACAATACGCCCATTTCAATCGCGAGCTACAGCATGGATTACAAGAATCACACGAATTACCCGTACAATAGTGGTAATTGGGACGGGATGTCCCTCCGACTGTGAATTACTGCTTAATTGGTGACATAAAGGTCTTGGATATTGCATCTCTTCGCCGGGTGAGTTTGCCGATGAGTACAATTCTGTTGGCATAATGGCAGGATATGGTCCTGTAACCGAGTCCAGATCAGCCAAGCTAGCATTTGACCCAGGCTTAGGTGCGCGCGGGGGTGGCGGTGGAGGAACTGCCCGTATGTTAAATCGATGAAGCGGTTTGTATTTATAAACTTTTAATAATCAAACTTGTAAGAAATACTGTACATTAAATGTGCGTCTTAAAAAACATATCTGTGTACAAATGGAACATTAGATACAGCAAACTTATACCAGGCCGACTCATATGCTTACCATTTCCAATAACATTATTTATATATATATATATATATATATATATATATATATATATATATATATATATATATATATATATATATATATATATATATATATATATATATATATATATATATATATATATATATATATATATATACTATATATATATATAATATATAACTAATATAACTAATAATAACTAATAACTATAACTAACTAACTAACTAAACTAATAACCTAATAACTAACTTAAT